TAACTCACCACATAGGGGCCCGGCACCATCACTGTCTTAACTCACCACATAGGGGCCCGGCACCATCACTGTCTTAACTCACCACATAGGGGCCCGGCACCATCACTGTCTTAACTCACCGCATAGGGGCCTGGCACCATCACTGTCTTAACTTACCACATAGGGGGGCCACGGGGAACTTGACAGGCACCATCGCTGTCTTAACTCACGTCATAGGGGCCCACGAACCATCACTGTCTTAACTTACCACATAGGGGGGCCACGGAGAACTTGACAGGCACCATCGCTGTCTTAACTCACCACATAGGGGCCCACGAACCATCACTGTCTTAACTCACCACATAGGGCCCACGAACCATCACTGTCTTAACTCACCACATAGGGCCCACGAACCATCGCTGTCTTAACTCACCACATAGGGGCCCACGTACTTATTATAGTAAGCCATGCACACTGTACTGTACGGCGGCGGAGTGTATGAAGCTGCGCGCTGGAGAGTACGTTTAATGTCTCTCTTTGGTCTCCGTCCATAATAAAAAATGTTTATGCAGGACGTTATCACAGTGGGTTTGATATGCCGTTTTAATGAGTAACGCAGATGTAATCATTTCCAAAAATCGCCGTTATCCCGAAATCTTGAGTTCCGCGAAAGATGATGGATGGCTTAATCGTTTGCTTGTGATGATTACGAGGCCCCACATTTCGTTGACGTTTTTTTTTTCCTGAACGTAGACATATCCACATCCATATTCAGATCATAGTCCATATTTAATTCCCTTAAACGAAGTGGAGGACTTGTTTTTATTTTTATTTTCTTCCACCAAACTTTTTCCGGACGTTTTCTCAGAAACTACCAACCAGTTCTTTATGGAACTCCACGTGATCATTGCATTGGTAGACATGTACGGATGTGAGAAAGCATTTTGTTTTCTGATCGGTTATCATACATGGCCGCTATGGCTTCTGATTGGCTGAGACATATATATATATATATATATATACATATCATAGAAAAAATAAGATCTAACGACTCACTAAAAAATAAGCTTCTTTCACCCTTCACAGGGCTCTTCAGGTGAAGAGTGAAAACAGCTTGTTTTTTGGTCGGTCGTTAGATCTTAGTTTTTCTATATTTACTTACTTCACATGGACAGTTAACCTTTTTTATTTATCATTATATGTATATATTCAAAGAAGACGAATTTGAAGTTTTTTTAACTTGTGTATAACCCTATTTCTACTTTTTTTTTAAATAAAATACGTTTGAATCAAATGAGACAAATCGGGCCTTTGTTATGATTTGTTAATTTTAATATCGGTTAATACGTCTACGTGGCAATATCTCAAAATGTGACCAAACCAATTGACAAAATGGTTTCTAATTGATCCTAATTACATATATTCTCATTTTCTGATTGATATCTTTTATAGACAGAACTCCAAGCCCTGGTTGGAATGTTATAGAACTTTTCTCCTTTCCCAAACACAGCGTTCTGCATTTATGTAATTTTAGTTATACCATTTGTCCGACCCCTGTTGTAGTTTGACTAGGCGCTGTAGGAGATCTCCGATATCTCTTTATATAGCTTGGTGTCTCTATATCAATTGGTGTCATCACACCGCAGTGAGTTAGAACCATGTGGTATTCCACGAATGACTTGCTCCCATTCAGTGTTGGACCATAACAGTGGCATGTTATCGGCTTTCAGCTAAAACAAACGTCGTTTATCTAGCGTGCTATTTCTTTTGAAGAACCTTCTATGCGGAACAGTGCCAAATGCCTTCATGACGTTTATATAAACTAACTCGATATTCCCCCTTCATCAATGTTTCTCCTCGGTTGTCTAAGCTTTGAAGGCGCTGGAGTGAGACCTGTGGATCTCCCTTTCACAATTCCAAATCGTTGTGTACGTAGACTGTTCATTGCTATAGATGTTCCATACCGCGTTCTCTTACACTTGTTCTCAACAATTTACCCATGATGCTTCAGCTTGTTAGTTTGACTAATCAGCCCCAAAATCATCCAAAACAATATCATCAATACAGGATAAACTGACCCATGCTTGGTAATGCAAAATGGTGAATTTCATGTGCATTCTGTACAGACTATGATGGGATAATATGCATTGAATTGTTGTAGTAGAAATTGTATAATTTGTATAATTTCTATATTGGGGTAAACTGAACACTTTCTACTTAACCTCATTCCTCCAGATGCAGGTCGGGGATCGAGAAAAGAATACGTGCTGTTACTCACTGCACGATTGTCAGTGGCGAACCCCCTGCGAAATTGGAGGTTGACGTTTGTACTCTCTACTTGGAGGACAAGTAAGCAACCAAAATAAATCTGCTGTGCCCATTGCCATACTTGGGATCTTTGTATTTCTTTCTACTGCTAATTACCTGTTGTTTCCTAGTGCCTTGCTCAGTGATACCTCGCTTTTGACTTTGATGTTGAACGTTTGCCCAGGCGAGGAAGGCAGTGGACTCTGTCCCCATGCAGTGACATACCAAATTCCTTGAAATGGTACTTGTTATTCCCTGCTTACGTTCAGCAATTAGGGAAATGGCAACAACTGGTTTACCGGTTGTCAGTATAATGTGATCAGGCGGAATGCAGTGCTGTGTGCCTTCGGCATGATATTTCCGTTGGATAGCACTTTAAAGTCAGCATCAGATCCAAGCTATCACAAGGAGGCAATTACACCAATACACTGTCATATACATACAAACACGCACGCATACATTGTACACACGGCGGCACGTCCTGAAATGACCTTAGCTGTTAATAGGTAGTAAACTCTTATAAGGTCAAACCCATGCACGATGGTACGCATCAAAACTGGTCGGTTATGAAAGATTGCCTGTGAATGAAAGAAAGGGTTTCGCTTGTAAAGATGTAGTAGAGACAGGGAGTCGCGTGTTACTGAGTGTAGCATACACGATGGTCTCTGCAATAACATTACGCATGAGTAGACCTATATCGTAGATAGCTTTTCAGCCTGAATGATAAAGATAAGCTGGTAATAATACAAACAATCCAGTGTTGGTGATGAGTCCTGTGCTAAAAGCCCGCTACAGTATTCTGAATCGTCGCCGTAATTTGATCTACAATTGAGTGGTAACTTCTA